GTATGGCTTTTGATGCAGGTTTATTGCCTCGGTTGTCGTGCTTTAACTTAAACCAGAGCTTCCAGTACAATCGTAGTTCGATCTTGATTGCGTTGCTCTTTCGACTGTTTCGTTTCCCGCATGGCTGATTATCCGCCATGGCCTATGGCTCCAATGGCTCCTGCTCGCAGCTTTGTATTCGACATTTGGCATGCGTGGCGGGAGGGGTTTGAGGGAGCGACTGTTGCGCATCATCGGCATGGCGACTTCCGCATGGTGCATTCTGTTTTCAAGGCTGGGATACAGCCAGAGGTGTGCCAGCTTCTGGCATCATGGCCTTCAGAAATTTGTTCGATTAGTTTATGGCGTTTATGGCCGCCAGTTTCAGGGCAGCACGTTGGCAGGGTAGGGCTTTGCAGTGCACCCCAGACGCTCCGGTTCAAACGTGAACCATGGCTTCATGATTTCATGAGAGTCCTAAAAAGCTTTTGGCCAGACTGCTCGACAAGAAAGTCTAGAGCCGCGACCATTTCACGTCCTCACTATAGGCCTTGTGACACCCAGAGGTGGTTTGGAAGGTCAGTGGAATGGGGGGTTTAGGGGAGAGCGATAGAGAGCATGTGGCAGACAGTGCTAGAGGGTTTGGACCTCAGATTAATTTCGGGCAAGACTCGTAGACTTCCCTCCGTTGAGCGTGTGAGTGAGTGGTTGGACCTCAGCACTCAGCAGGAAATCAGTTTTAAATGCCACACGATGGCACTGCAACCCAGCAAGATCGACACCTGCAACAAACGCTCAGCAATGCAGGAGGCAAAACAAGGCAATTTGGACGGCCGAGGAACACACTCAACAAATTTCTATAACATAACTAACCCACCACGAAGCAAAGCAACACCTGCCCATAAACCTTACATCATTCCCCAACTTGTCCAAGAAGTCACGCACAAACACGGTGTCTGAGTTGCAAGCTGGCAAGACTGCCTTGACGACACTGCAACGGCAGCAAATTCTGGGGAAGCCCACCACTCTCACCAAGGAAGAATTAAACGAGAGCTTGTCTTTGTAAGCTGAAGGCTCACATCGGGCAAGACCGCACGCTGCAGCCGTTGGCTGCCTCTCTTGCAAAAAGCTTGAAATCAGCGGGCTGCAGCTACAAGAACTCTGCAACGGCACCAGCCGGTGGTGATGATGATGATGATGATGATGATGACGATGAACGGATATCTGAATCTAGGCTGTTCATCTCGACCGCACTGCATTTGTTATTGATATCATGCACCATCATCATCGTCGGGCGGTCCGTCGCTTCTCGGACTGCGAAACTAAGCTTTCTTCGCCCGTTGCTTTTTGGGATGCGTTGTCTGCCAAGATGCTAATCTTTTTGAGAGAGATGCCCCAGAAGCATGTCGTAGATGTGGCCACTCCGCAACACTCACAGGCAGAAAGCGTACCATGAAGCTTTAGATCCACCCCTTCGGGATTGGTTCTCAGGTTCCACGCGACCAGGTGGAAAGCGCGAGGCAGGCCACGCCCAAGAAGCGAGGCGGGCTGAGTGGACGGTCTCACTGAGCCTCACTGGCACCGGCGCTCGTGGAAGGACGGCCGAAGGAAGCGAAGCCGAAGCCAAAGTCGCCGAAGCTGAAGGAGAAGGCCGAGAAGGTCACGAAGGAGAAGCCCAAAGCCAAGGCCAAGAGCAAAGGCAGGGCCGGGAGGGAGCGCCGGGAGCGCTGCAACAAAGGGCGCTGGTTGTAGATTTTCGTGCTCGCCCAGGGAAGCGCAAGTGGGCCGAGGAGGCCCGAGCAGACGAGAATTTCACTTCGACAGCTCAGAGTGGTCGAGGATTCCGATTCCGATGGAGCCAGAGAGCAAATCTCATCAGCAGAGGCCACTCACTTGCGAAGCCTCTCTTTAAATTGGCAGGTCGTGGTTTCCTTTGCAGGCCCTGTCCGTGCGCCGGAGCCAGCGGCTGCGTGAACCGGAGTCCCCCTCGGCACAGGCCGGGGCCTTGGCCTTGGCCAGGGCTTAAAAGGGCTTAAGAGTCTTCTCTGCGTCTTCCCTGCGCCGCGCGAGGTCGCGTCCTCGACGCTGGTCCACCACCCGCCTCAAGAGCAACGAACCCGGAAGGCCCAGCAGGGCCGTTGCAGGCGAAAGGTTCATGCTGAGCTGCGAGATGCCAGGGCTTGCTGGCGCCGGAGCTCACGCGGCAACCTCGGCCTTCGAGGCCGAAACATGGCGAAACGATGAGCGTGCCCGAACCGAGGAACCGCATGAGTTTCCGCGAATACTTGGCCTACGATCGTGAGCAGGAGTCTGGTGTCTGGGGGCAGGGCCGGACAGGGAGCAAGGAGGAGGACAGAGGACTGACGTCTTTCTGCACAGGAGCGGCAACGCAACCAGGCTCGTCTGGACCGGCAGAAGCGAAAACTGGTAAATGGTGACAGTTCAGACGAGGACGTCAGCTGCCTTGTGGTTGGAGCGAGTCGTGACACCAGATGAGTTGTCTATCAACCTTGTTTGAGTTCCAGTGTTGCGAGGAATCCGCGATCGCACCAGTTGTTTTCATGCACTGGATTCGACAGTGTCCGTTGCAGAAATCCACCTCGGATTCGTCCGCCTGTGCATTGTTACCCTTGTCATTCCGAGCCAAGATCTGGACTAGGCGCTGTGACGCACGTTTTGTGGGGATTCTGGTTCAGCAGCCACGCCCCCATCTCATCTTCATCATCTGAACCCTCGTGAGTCATCATCACTGTCAGTCACAATCCGCCATCTCGTCATGGTCTTCATCCGAATATTTTTCCTTTCTCATCTGAGTTATCATCACCGTCATGTTCGCACGTGTGGTGTGTATACATCACCAGCACCAGCATGAGCCGCACTAGAAAAGAACAGCAAATAACATGGTTGCGAACTATCGCCTCTCGCCTTAAAAGGTAAAGGGAAGTTTCGCCACCCCTCCCTCGAATCACCTCTGCCATTCAGCGCGAATATGCCTGTCCCACTCAACGTAGGCAACGAGACAGAGGACAAGATGAGCGAAACCTTTCAGTCCCGGTCGGAGGTCTGCCAGGCTGTCTATTCGGCGGTTTCTGTTGAGTCCCAGCTCGTGGCAATGGGCAAGCATTTGCATAAGCTGTGCTGCGTGGTGCGATACACCCGAGGAATTCAGCATCAGTGAGCACATGAGCCACATTGCTATATTGCTGCCAGTTAATGTATGGATTGCCAGTAATGTATGAATAATTGTTGCAAATGTTATCATGCGGATGCAATAGTTTGCCAGCGCTGCTTTCAATCTCTCGAGTGGCTTTATACTACTTATGTCACTTATGTCTGGTTACCTTGTACTTGGACCGTGTGTGTGATATGGGGCGATCGTTAAAATGTAGCATGTAGTCGACGGATTCTAGTTCCTTCGGGATACTTGGGGCTTTTCATCCATTTTTTTTGAAGAGGGTTCGCTTTGTGAGTTCGGCGCCTTGTGCCTTCTTTGTCTCCAGCCTATGCGGGTTGTCGTTCTGCAGGACAAGCAAAGTCTCCTGGACTTGAGCAGTTAATCGGATCGTCAACTTAGCGCGATCTAGTCAGCTCAGGGGGTGTCAAGAAGCTTTCCAACTGCCATGATTCTGCAGGTAACATCAGATCACCGGCGCATCGCATTGGGGCGTTTGTCATAGGAAGTATACATGCATTCATCACACAAGCATGCCCTCCAATGGGCGCATCGCACCTTCAAAACTGGCATTGAAGAATGCACTGCTCATGTCGCTTTGTTACTCACCGGCTCTTGGACACCGAGCCCTCTCGTGAAGAGTACATCTCCAGCAGTTTGAGACATCAAGGACATGCTGTAGCCGCAGCCGGGCATTTCCCAGAAGATTTCACACAAAGGCTTCAGTGAACGAATCCAGGTCCGTAAGTTCCTACACAACGTGATTTTATCGAGTACTTCGTCTATGACGCATAGCCAGAACGAATCAACTTTGAAAGTCTGCAGGATCAAGCAACCTCTGGAAAGGTGTGTTGAGTCGCACAGGGCTCGATGTCGTCGAAAGTTTGCGTAAATGCCAAGGCTCCGCAATCACTGCTTATATTTTGGGCACAGACTCTGCGACAACCCTTTGTTTTTGACTCGCCGTTAAGACTTTCTGCTGCATGGTACCTTGCACAGCTTGAGTACATGCAGACCGGTGATCCAAGCCGAAACCTTACGCCCGTGTAGAACGAAGTCCATCCGTCTTCGGATACCACCCATGGGGGGACGGAGACATCTGCCAGACTTGCCACGAGACATGGAGCTTGAGCTGCATGAGCATCCGTAGCCGCGTCCAGAGGACCTGCAGCTGGCCCTGGCTCTTTCCATGTCCGAGAGCCAGGAGAGGACCCCTCAGGCCGGCCGGGCCCCGTCGCTTTGGGCCTCCATGCTTTGGGCGTCTGGTAGGATGGGCGAGATGACGGGAGCTGACGCCTCTGTGGCGCAGCGCAGTGTACAGAGTGACGATGAGCTGACCACAGTGTACAGAGCGGGGTTAGCGCGGACTGTGCAGGGATCCGCATCTGGGCCTTGATGGGGTGTCCGGGCAAGCTGGAGACCTTGTCGAGCCTGGTCCAGGGTAGCTGAGGCGAGTGAACACGGCTGTTTCATGCAGCGCACACTGCCTCCGGTTGCCCGCATTCAACCACATCCGTAGGGCGTCCTGGCAGGTTGTGTCATTCAAACAGCAGCCACAAGAAGCCGAACGCCTGCTGGGACTACTTTTCGAGGCAGCAGCACGCGCAGCTTCCCCCCGGAGCCCTAAAAGATGCGTGACCTTCGACCCTCCCAACAGATGCAACCTGGGCCGCGAGCCTTCGTTTTTTGCAACCCTTCAGCTGCCTCGTGTTGCTCCGGCTCTCTATGCTGTGCGCTCTGGGAAGCCCATGTGTTGCGCACTGCATCATCAAGACAAACTGATGGTTTACATAGACGGTTAAGGAAACCTGCTTTGGAAGCCTTCCTTTTCTGTCGGCTGGTTCTTGCCATGGCAGCCCGTAATCCTGGACCCTTCTTGCAGCAGCAGCTTGGAAGAATGGCATGCGTGGCACGAGGGGAGCTCAGGGGAGCCTTCGCGTGCGGCTAAGGACTCCCGTGGGCTTCCCGTCCTACACGCATCACATCAGACGGTGTAACTGCCCGGGTTGTGTCACGTGGACAGTGTTCTTGTTTTTGCCTACGCTGCAGGGATTGGCTGGCGAGGAAAGCCTTCGAAAAGAGCGAGGTGAATACCCGTGTGTACAAGGCCAGAAACCGAAGGCCTGCTTCCTTGGGCCACAAGTTTTGCCTGTTGGCAGGCGATCTACGAGAACATGGGTGTCAGAGGTAGTATTCCAATCAACAAGCCCCGGCCTCATCTTGTGGGGCAATGCCTTTCGCCTGCCCGATGCTTCCAAAAATCGAGGTATGTTGGGCGCAATCGGATCCGTCTCCGCGGCATCACGGAGGGATTTGCCCGTGGCAACAAGAGGCAGCCTGGCATCAGCAGTGAAAAAGATGTCATTCAGTTGTTGAGAGGTGGACCCACATGAACAAGCACGGTTTCGGCCTCGCCTACAGAGAAGGATGGTTTCTGAAGTGCCCTTGACATCCTGTATGCCATGAGACCCGCACATGGAGGCAGGCAGGCTGTCAGCAAGTACAAGGGATAGTACAATACAAGGTGCAATGAGGACAAGATCGAGTTGTAGTGGCTGTGGCTATAGTACGGTCGGGCAAAGATAATGAGATTCTCGCTCCTTCGCTTTCGGTCTTCTGATGGAGGGCAGATTTCTCCCGCAGGTACGGCTTTGACCCCGAGCGATATCACTGAGCTGAGCTGTTTCGATTCTGCCCACAGTAGTGAGTAGTGCTTGTCGATAGGCCTGGAACTGAGACTGCACCCTGAACACGCAAAGTCAGCACAGGTTCACTAGTTTACCTGCCTGTCGCCTGCAAAGTGTAGTGCACGCTGCGAACGCGCTACGGCTGAAGTGCTCGAGGCTCAAAATTTCCAAGAGCGGGGGCTCATCAGCGGCCTCAAGGAGTGCGTTGAAAAAAGCAAGACATAGCAAGACCGTCCAGAGTCTGGAGCATGGCACAGTGATCGCCGACTGTACCATCGAGTTGCCGCCATGGCTTTCATACGGCCGCAACTCTTGCGCAGAGGCCCCCGGGGCTTTTTACAAGGGAACTCCAAGGGGATCTTGCGGTGGTTTTGCTGCGCACCGAAGGCCTTGCCAGCGGCCTTGCCAGCTTGCGGCCCCTCAGCTCTCTCGGCTCGGTTCCAGCGCTTCCAGAAAGGCTCCGGGGAAGCCTGAACCGTGCTTTAGTCGGAGCTCTGTTGCGTGCGTAATCTGCGTATGGCATCAGGCAGATTTTCCAGAACATCTCGGCTGACTGCGTAAAAGCAGTCCTGAGGCAAGATGCCCAGAAACTCCGCAAGAGGACTGCCCTGACCGCACATGGGCCTGACCGCACATCTCTGTCAGGACACAGGAAGCCGACCCCGCCCTGCCGGCATGGAAACCAGGGCCTTCTGCTGGCTTCCGCTTCGTTCTGCCAGGCAGCGAAGCGAAACGGAAGTGATGAAAGCTAGAGTAGGATATAGTAGGATATTTGGGGATGGGGCAGGGTTTGCAGAGCTGGCGGATTGAGGCAGAGGGGTCCTGCTATGTCGCGTGCTCACACGAGTCACGAGTCAGAGTTATATAATCAGACCGGGCTGAAGTGCGAACGCCTGCCAAAGATCCGGACTGTGCCGGTGAGGTCGCGACGTGACCGAGGAAAGACTCACGGAGTTGGACGGACGTCCGCAGAAGCCTGCAATGGAGGCTCCGAACCGTCTCGTCATTTCTTGGCACAGTTGCCTTCCACTCTTGCTTTGGATATCGGTCTTCGGACATCGCAAGTTTCGATGGAGGCCTTGAACACACGGAAGGACTTCCGCCGGTGGAAGCGGCGACGAAAGCAGGATGGTGGTCGGGTTGGTGAGCCCAGACTCTCCAAGTTCCCCTGACCCGAGCCTGAGCCTCTTTTGAGCGCACCCAGAACCGCCACTTCCGCCTCAAGTACGGCTGAGCGCTGCGGAGCAAGGCTGATCTGATGTTGCATTGATCCATGGTCCAGCCTGTCTATCCGATCCTTGAGGCAGTGTCCCAGCCCTTTAACCCGTCAGCGAGGTGTAGCCAGAAGTTAAAAAGGTGTCCTGAAGATCGGGAGAGAAAAGCGAGGTGCGCGCAGAAAGCGGAGGGCATCTGAAGCCAGGTCCAAGGTGGAACTGTCAAAATTTCCCTCTGCGCGGCTCGAGAGTCGGGGGTGGAGGGCCTGCGAGAAGACAGAAGTGAACTGAGGCGCAGACTCGGCGTAGACATGGCAGCAGCCTGGTAGCGTTGCAGATCCAGTGTTCGTAGCGCGGAAGCCTTGGCGCAATGGCGCACGCGGAGTGGGACCTGTGGGGCCGCCTGGAGAAGATAGTTCAGGACAGGACGGTTCTGTCGTGGCTTGGCCGGCCAACCTGCATCTGAGACTTTGCCAGGACGGCAGTTACATGTCCGCAAACGAGGACCCGCATGTAAGATTACTTTCGGCCTCTTGTCAGCACTGAAGTGGGCAGTTCAGGATCCATCTTCGCTCCCGCAGCCGTCCCCGAACGGGGCCAAGGCATCTCGTAGGCACCCAACGCCGTGCCACACGAGCGAACTACTGGTACGATGTCACAGAAGCACGAAGCCTAAGCAGACAACGGACGCGAAAAAGATACCGTTCCGGTCTTGCGAGCGGCGCCATGGCCATTGCCATGGACACCGGTGGGCAGAAATTGAAATCGCACTGCCTGGACAATTACTGCAGAGCGAAAGATCCGACCGAGAGCCATGAGGTGGAGACTCGCGTCCAGAAGCTGATCTCACTCTCCAGGAGCCGCTCTCCAAGTGCTCAGAAAGAGAAGAAAGAAAGAGCCGAGTCCAAGGATGGGAAGGCCAAGAAGGGCAAGCCGGAGAGCAAGCCGAAGGCAGAGCCCCAGGAGGCCCACGTCCTGGGCGCTTGGCTTCAAGATGAGCACGTCCTGGAACTCCTGAAGCTGCACGCGGATGGCAAGAAGAAGGGCAACACCAGCCCCACCAAGAGCCAGCCTGAAGTACCCCAGACGAAAGCAAAAGACAAGGGCACTGGCAAGACCATGCCAGCGGAACCGAAGCATGGTGCCGGCATGGCAGTTCCGACAGCTCCTGAAATTGCACAAGATCAGATGAGCTCGAGGACGAAAACCAGGAGGACGCTCATCTCTCTCTGAGCGGAGCTCAGGTGGTGCGGGTGTATAGTTCGGAGGAGAGAGGAAGAGTCTGCCAGCCGTAGGCCGTAGAGTGCGAGCCGGCAGGGCTTTTCTATTCCCCTCAAGCTTTTCCGCCGCAATGCCGCCGGGTGTTTCTTCCGAGCAATTGCAGCATGTCTCCTTTAAGAGTGTCTGTATGGAGTACAGAACTCATGATTATTTGTGTTGCCTGTAGAGACTCGGAGTCGTCCAGCCAGCGGCGGTCCTTTCAAAACGTGTGTCTAGGAGGCATGGCCGTGACTCTTTCTTTTCGGGAGCTTCGCGCTCTGAGAATCTCCGCAGCGAGGAGTTCACGGCCCTGAAGGGCTTGGTCCAGAGAGCCGATGCCTCCGAGCTCTCCGCGCAGCTGGCGAGAGCACCCTTGGCCTGGGAGCCGCTCGGAGACGCAGAGAGCGGACTCGCAGAGAGCGCTTAGCCTTAGCCCTTCGCTGCCACTGAGGTTCCTGCTGACCTTCGGAGCAAAGAAGCCCTTCTACAGGAGCAGCAGTTCTCCCATCTCTTGCAGCCCCCAGCCTTTCCTTCGGAGAGGTCGCACCTCTGCCAAGTGGTCGAGGCCTTGCTGGCGCAGCCCAGATGGCGGGAGGTGTATGCCAGCAGCCAGGACAGCTCTCGCCGGTGCTCAGGAAATCGGTAGCCAGGTGCCATGCTCCAGAGAGGAGCTGCAAGAGAAGGCAGCCGATCCCGCGCTTCACGCGGACATCAAGAAGGTGTGCCCGGAAAATGGAGAGCGCACAGGGCGGCAAGGCGAAAAAGACCCCAGGCCTTGGCTGCAGTGCCCGCTGCACCTGCCTCCGTGGCCGCCAGCAAGAAGGCGGAGAAGCCACGATCAGGTGGCCTGGCTCCTGGCACCCTGAAACTGAGGGCTCGGCCTTGCTCTGCCTTGCTTGTCTCTTGACAGGTCCGAGCAAAGATGTGGAGTGGCCGAGCTGGGAAGTGCTCCAGGCGACTCTGCCGTCGAATTGCCACACCTTGCATAGAAGTGGCTGGAGAGGAGGTGGTACAAAAGGAGACCTTCATGGCTGCCAACGAGGAGTTTCGGGTTCTGAGGCCTGGACAGGGGTTGCCTGGTTTGGACTCATCTGCTGCCCCTCAGGCTAGCTGTGCTTGCGGCAGATCCCGTGCAACTGGCCAGTGGTGTCCCTCAGTGGTTCGTGTCCTGCAGTGTCTACATGAGTGATGTTACCTTCAGTGCAACGCGAGGTCAGGTGGCGCACGCACCAATGGTGCCGGGAACCCCAATTCCGCAAGCAGAAACCTCATGTCAAGTCGACTGTTTCTGACAGGTGGGAGTTCATCGCCGGGTTCGCCGCGAAAAAGTCGCACTTCAGGTTGGCAGTGAGTGGCGAAGAGATGCCCCAGAAGACGATGTGTACAGGTCCCAGGTGGTGGAAGTGACCAGCGCTTTGCGGAAGGAACGCGGCTGGGATGAAGCCCTCGAGGCCTTCTGCTAGGCCACATGTCCCCATGCAGCACCTGCAACGAACGTGCTTCGTTGTGCTGCACGACCTCGAAGCTGAAGCCGCAAGCCACTTCCTGCGGGATCTTCTTCCGGCTCTATGAGTGGACTGCGATGCAAAGTGCACTTGGGTCGTATGCCCGGCGGCCAGTCGATAAGTTCGACCATCCAAGTCGATTCTCCGCTTCTTCTGTGAACCGTACATGGGGAGACACGAGCACTGAGCTCTGGCTGGCGATGGGTATAGTTAGTTTAGCTTCGCAAGGAGGGGGCAGGCTGTCACATACGCTTGAGCCTGGTAGAATCAGCATGATCTTGCTTGTGGCCTTGACTTTTTGGCGGATGTGAACCTCTCAGCATCTCGATTTCTGTCGCAGGCTGCCCAGCCTTCCCTGCGCAGCCGCATCAACGAGTTACCTGAAGCGGCTTCAGCCGTGCGCGGGCAACTGAGCCCCGACCTCAACCCAGGTCACCTAATTGGGAAATCGAACGGCGAAAATCTGGCTTGAGGTAGATGCATCAGCTGGCACGGGTTGTGCAAGAGCTGACTCAGGTCGTGCCGACCAGTCTCCCGCAGCTTCTGGCGGAGACTCCAGTCTCGGCGATGTCGGCGAGGAATTGGCGGCCTGGAGGCCTGGCTGGGTCTCGCGCACAAGTTGTCTTTTCAGGAGGAGCACCAGACCCCCTACACAAGCGGGATCCCCAGAAGATTTCCAGGGCCATCTTGGCCTTGGCGGGACTCCGCGCCCTCCGCGCCCTTGGCTTGGAAGGTCCTGATTTCCAGTCCCTGGAGGAAAGGTGCCAGCTGCGGGAGTCTTGGGGCTTGGGGCTCGGGGCTCCGGGGTAGTCGGTAGTGCTTGGTAATCCGGAGCTTCATGGTCAGCGGGAAGCATCAGGGTTGGGACCAGGATCCGTCATACCATCGGTACTTCTGCTTTCGTGACGACTTTTAGGGCGACCGCACGCAACCCAGGTCCCACATCACTCCTGACTGTTTACAAAAAGAGAGACGTGCCAGACTCACCAACTGCACCGCCGCTTTTGGCCCAGCTTTTCCCAGAGTGCGCATCGGGGTCCGGCTGGAGTCGCCTGGATGCGTTTTGAAGCGGCCTCTGGGATGCTCAGCCTTTTTGAGATGAGTTTCCATGCTTGGAAGCAAACTTCCGCAGCCAAAGCCAGTCGCACCAATGATGAGAAGCAAGCCCGCCAAGCATCGCAGATGAAGAAGGGCATCATCGCACTGTGGCTTTCCCAACCCTCTCCAACCCAACCCAGCGAAGCCACGCTTGGCTAGTAAGCTGGAAGACCGCATAAAATCAAGGAGTGACTCAGCTGAGTCATATTGCTGCACGTATAGTTTGGGTCGGCCCAGAGCCGTAGAGCTAAGTCAGACCGCTTCGACCATTAGGGCCCAGACCTGATAAGGAGACTGTCCAGCTTTGTCCGAGGGGGCCAATTCCCGGGACATGCAAGTGAAGGAAATATTCTATGTTTCTCGGCGGCATTCTGTCACGACTTCTGCAGTTTGCGTCCCTGGCATCTGGAGCAGCGCAGCTTCGCGTTAACGTGTCTCTCTGCCTCGCAGTGTGTATCCGGATCTTTGGGGGCTCGTTCTTCGTTCCCGCAGCACGTGCTTTGCCCAAGTGCTCCTAGAGAACGCCGGTGCCTCCGCGGCCGCGCCTTGCAGGTGCCTAAATTGCACTTGGAATCAGTCTTTCGCTGCTGCCTCTGCAGCAAGGATGTACCGCCTCGCTGCCTTGTGCCTGGCCCTGGCTGCTGGCGAGGCCTTGAAAAAAAAAGGGGGCTTGGGCTTTTTGTTCCTTCGGCCCAAGAAGTTTTAATGAATTGCAGGACACGGCAGCGACTCAGACGGCCCTGGCCCTCGGCTTCTTCTTGGCTCAGCGCTCTCTCTTGTTAGCCTTTGGGCTTCCGCAGGTGGCCTTCATGACCTTCGAGCCGGCTCAGGGAAGCCAGGGCGAAAACGTGGGCTGCGTGGGAACCTCGCCGGCAGACGTCGGGCCCGACTACTACGAGGAGCAATCCGGATAATCAACGTGCAATTCCTGTATAGAACGTCGCTCGTGGCAGAGATGTACGAGGGACTTGAAATCGGCTTTGGCGAGGCGAACAAAGACAGGATGAAGGAAAGTGGACATGGGGGCAAAATGTAAACAGAGCCAGAAGTGACGGCAGAAGTGTCGAAGATGAAATTCAAAAGGTTAAGGCAAGGAATGGAAACATTCGGAATCTCAGCCAGCATCGCTGAGCTTCAAAGCGAGGAAAGTATGCGGGCAGTGCTCAAAGTTGCGATGTAGGCAGGAGAGGAGGTGACCCTCAATTGATGTTGGATGTGCTGGGGGCTTTGGTTTGCCAGGGTGGAAGTTTGAGATGCCGTGACGCTTCGACACGAGCGAGTGTTTGAGCGGTAAAGGAGTCTTACGGCTGCTCTTCGCTGGACGTGTG